CTATTAAAATCTTCATTCATTTAAATAAATAAATGAAAAACAGATGAGATAAGTTGTTTAATCTTATAATCAATTTCCATTAATTTAAAAAGATAGTCTAAGGGATGTTCATGTTTAATTCTTAGGAGAAAAACAACCCTACTTTACCCTAGACTAGAAAAAAGACTGGAGGTCAGACTGTAGGATGATTGAGCAAGGGTTGCTGGCAGATGGACTATTGAGGTACATGTATAAGAAATATGGACACAACTTTATCTAACTATCATGTAATGCAGTATCTGTGCTGCTATGTAAAATATATTACTTTTTTTTTAAATTATAGGTCAACAAAAAATTTGGACTTTCACCAGGTGGACAATTCTCACATCAAATGAATGATGGCTGTCTGTGGAAAAGAGATTCTCTCCGAATATATCATGTCAGAAGCAGGAATTACATATTTATCTGATCAAAGAAATGTTTTTGTAGAAATGTGGAAGTCAATGCATGTTATCAAAGTCACTGATGCTTGTTGCATGATTCCATTCTTGATTTTTTTCAGAGACTTTCAGTCAAAAGTAGTTTTATTTATAATCAAATAATGTTTAATTATTTGATTCCCAAGTACACGATACAGTGCACGCTTTGTAGAATGTTATTACTTTACAAGATCTTTGATTCAAATTTGAAATTTTACTCCCAGAGTGAATTTTTCAAGCATTATCTTTCATTAGATTACAATTTGAAGATTTACATGTACTGGCATTACAAACTTGTAAATGATATATACCTAGCTCTATGTATTCAGTTGCTTTACATTTTCTAATACAGTTAAAATCTTAAAATACAGTTCTGAAATGCATAAAAATGTGCCTGCTTTAGATCATTTAGTTAAAGGGTGATTTTAACAAGAGTATGCCGAACAAAATTGCTGGTAGTGGTCGGATTAAAATTTAGATTTTTACAAATGAACTACATATACATGTACTTGCAGTAGAAACCCTCAAGAGGTCATTTTTAATTCAATTTCAATACAAGTTATTGACACTGATAAATAAATGTTTGTGTTACAAATTCTCAAAAAGAAATTTCATCCTTGAATAAGTATTTTGCATCTAAATGTGAAATTAAGTTTGATAGCTGCATGCATATTATTGTTACAAAGTTCAAGGATGTCATTTTCAGGCAAAGATGTCAAAGGGCATTTGATTGTCATAGATGGCTTTTTTGTTATCTTAAAACTCCAGCAAATTTTATGCAATATATGATCACATTGAGGAGTTATATATATTGGTGCTGAACAAACTATATACTTATAAATGTGTGTAGGTATTTATTGTCCCTTGCTTTTGCGAAAGCGAGGGGACATTAAATCTCATTTGTCTATCAGTCTGTCCATCTGTGTCACAAAAACTTTAACCTTGGCCATAACTTTTGAGTGAGAAGAGATTGGGCTTTTGTATTTCACATGTACATTACCTGTAATAAGACCTTTCAAAATATACTGTGAATTTTGACCCTGTGACCTTGGCCTTGAAGTTTGACCTACTTCTCAAAAAAAAAAAAATTAACATTACCTTAAATTGGTCATAACTTTTGAATGAGGAAAGATAGGACTTTCATATTATGCCTGTTCATTACCTGTGACAAGACCTTTTGAAAATATACTATAACTTTTGACCCCATGACCTTGACCTTGAAGTTTGACCTACTTTTCAAAAAATTAACATTTCATTAAATTGGTCATTAAATTTAAATGAGAAAAGATAGGGCTTTCATATTAAATAAGAACATTACCTGTAAGAATACCTTTCAAAATGTACTATGATTTTTGACCCCATGACCATGACCTTGAAGTTTGACCTACTTTTCAAAATTTTTATCTTTGCTTATAACTTTTGATTGAGAATAGTTAGGGTTTTCATATTTGACATGTGCATTAGTAGTGACAAGGTGTTTCAAGCATGCTATAATTTTTGACCCTTTTAACTTGACCTTCATGTTTGACCTAAATTTCAAAAGTTTTAACTTTGGTGATTACTTTTGAATGACATATGATAGGGTGTCCATATTTTACAAGTGCATTACCTGTGTCAAAATGTTTCTGAATATGCTATGATATTTAACCCTGTGACCTTGACCTTCCAGTTTGACCTAATTTTCAAACATTTCATCAGTTTGCTAACTTTTGAAGGAGCAAAGATAAGGCATTCATATTTGACAAGTGCATTAATTTACCTGTGACAAGCATTTCCAAATGTACTATGATTTTTAATCCCATGACCTTGACCTTGAAGTTTGACCTAATTTTTAAAAAGTTTAGCATTGCTAATAACGTTTGATTGAAAGAAGATATGGTATTTACATTTGATATGTGCATTACATGTACCTGTTTCAAGACCTTTCTGATTGTATACTCTGGTTTCTGATATTTTTTTTTTACATGTGAATTACTTGTGAGAAGATCTTTTGGATTTTATTATGATATTTGACCTCATGACCTTGATCCTGAAGTTTGATGTAGTTTTGAGAAGCTATAGTCTTTGCCATAACTGTTATTAATTCAATAATTTATGTCTTTTTTGTTTGATGCACAGACAAGACAGGACAAACAAACAAGACAGTTACAATATGCCATAAATAATGGCATCCCATCCACTAAGACATCGAAAGCAGGGGACCACAATTCTTTGAATTTGCTTGTTGTTTTCAAAGCTCAGTCGACAAATGTAAAATATCCAATAATAACATAATACCAGGGACCTACATGTATATGTATATAACTACATATTCATGTATAGGCATGTATATTAGTCCCTCTGATATTCATATATTAAGCATTGAATGTCTAGATTCATATGGCATGTTCACTATACATGTATATTGATTTCATGTTTATATCATAAATAATGTATTGAAATCTTTTTTTAGTTTATGATAATTTTCTGTATGATTTTTCTCATAATTTTTTGGAAGGTTTATTATTTATTCCTGGTTATATTGAAGGTTAAGTTGCTTTGAATTAGTCATGAGCATGTGAAAAATGTATATGATAATTTTCCTGTAATTGCCACTAGAAAATTTATGTATTTTATAAAATTGTCAAACATAACTTATTCATAAGAATAAAATGACAGAGGAAATTCGAAATGAATTTTTTGAATATCATTAGTGTAAAATACCATAAAAATAGAATGTATAACTGGTGGAAATGAATGTATTTATGTCTCAATTACACCAAATCGATATATTTTTGGGGATTAAAAATCTTTCGTAGAGACATTAAAAACACTCTGTAAATTGAAGATTTCAGAAAGTATAGAGTAAATTCGGGCTAATTTTTTTTCGATAATTTGCCTGATTACTATATCTTTTTTACCTTGTAAATTAATCTTGAACCTTTGAATTTTCATCAGACAAAAATCTAAATATTTGACATTATATAGTCAATTGTAAAAATTGAGATGAAATTTCATGTGAATTCATGAAAACTGAGAATTTTGGGAAAAAATATCGAGGAAATTCGGATTAAATGTATTTATTGAATGTAAAGGAATTCATGTTATCTTTTCACCAGCTCATTTCATATGAATTAGTCATCAAAAATAAGTAACAACTTTAATTTTATGGTGAAAGATATTTTTTCAGTCAGCAATATTTATTCATATGCATAAATTTCAAAACTTCTCTGTGTAAAAGTACTATTTTTAGGACTGACTTTCAAATGACCTTGACTGAAAACCAAGGCCGATGACACTAAAGTTTTTGGATGTTAAAACAGTGTAAACAGTCTGAATATTGAGTATTCAAAAAATCAAGATTCTGCCATTATAAGAAATATGAGAAGAATCCATCCTTAAATTGTTCAAAATATGCCTCTAAATCATTTTGAAAAAGAATGGCCGCAAAATTTAAAAAGTAGGTCACCGTGACCTACTTTTGAGTCAACATGATATGAGGTCCTAAGATGCACCAACTGACAAGATTTGATGATCCTAGTCCTTATAGTAAGCAAAATATCAACATTTTAATAAAATGTAATTTTTGGTCAACTTTGAAGTGACCTTGAGACCACGCCCTTTGCCCCAGGGTAAATCCCCGTGCAAATTTTAATCTACAACATATCCTCATCCTTTTGTGTAAGTTTGGTGATAATCTGCCCAGTGGTTCTTGAGAAGAAGATTTTTTAGCAACCAGTACTTTTTTCCCTATTTTCCTAATTATCTCCCCTTGTTAAAGGGTCACAACCCCAGTTTTAGTATAAAAGGGAGCCCTTGGGCCAAGGATACCCTGTGACAAATTTGACAATAATTGGCCAAGGGGTTCTTGAGTTATGGCCCATATTCTAAAAAGTTTACGCACACCGCACAAATGGCCATAGCATTAGCTCTTTGAGCCTTTGGCTCAGAAGAGCTAATAAGATACACCTACATAAGATTTCCGTCATCAGCCATGCAAAAATAATTTTTGTGTTCCCCGTTTCTCAAAATATTTCATCACATACTGATTATGACCTGTTTTTACATAATAATACCACCTCTGTGTTCACCGAGTATGATCTTGCTGTACTAACAGATCGTGTATGCTGTCACCGACTTGTTGGACGTGCAGTTTAGGGAAACAGAGGAGTGGATCAATCTTTTTCATAATTTGTTAATGTTTACAAGAATGTTAAAACTTTTTATTTTTTTTATATAAGATGGTAATTAAAGTTAAAAAATTGTCAAAAATTTATACAAGAACTGATGCTTTACACATTTTGTACTTACATAAATGGAGACTATGACGTAGTTAAACAGAGTCATGTGACCATGTGTCCTTCATCCCCTTAAATGTTTTTTTTTACCTTTTTGTTATACTTATACATGTATTGTTTTCGGTAGTTCATGGGCTAGTGACTGGCAACCTCGGGCTAGTAACTTTGTCACTGCCACTATCCTGACGGGCTTGTAACTAATTTTTGTAATTGCACACCCCTGACATTATTTGATTTGTAAAGAATGTCCACTCTCCCCACTTACCATTAGGGAGACTCTCTATAGACTTCTGAATGTGCACTTCTTCATTAAACACAATACTCTTATTCTCTTTCTTGGTGGCTACTGGTGTATCCTGTGAAGCTGTGAGCTCTGTCCCTGTTGCATCTGTAATTCATTGTCTTCATGAATATGTATACTGTATACTACAGTAATATGTTTTATTGAAATACGAACTTAACCACATACCATTGCCAAATGGCTCTACATGGATAATCTTTCATCTATCAGAAATGAAATGTCCTTAATTTGCATCATGTCCCTTGCTGTTTATAGTAACTATGGATATATTTTATATTCAGTGCTTTGTTTATGTAAATTAGCTCACCTCTCACTGACACAGTAATATAAGGTTCTATGTACTGAGTGGCATCTTTAAGTCCAATTCTCTCTATTTTTACTGTCAGTACTTTCATTCCACTGTATGCTAGAGGTCTCGGCAGCAAGCTTCCTTTCGCTAACATAAATAAACATTTGTTATTAGATTTATAATGTACATGTATATACCACCATTCATGTAAACATGCATGGATTTTACAAATTGTAACCATGTTGTTCTTAAGATATACATTGACGTAGCTTTATGGCATATGACTTTCTAGGTAAAATCTTGCTCCCTGTAGAGGCCAAACCCAGCACTACATGGGGCATGATTTCAACAGATTTGAATCCACACTCCATGATGAATCTAATTTTGGTAGTGCTGTTCTTGAAAACAATATCTTTTATGATTTTTCCTTTAAAATTTTTACTTTTAATTGTTCCTTTATTATAATTCTATCCTAAACCTGAGGGCCACACGATTTACAGTGTTGAATTTAATCAACATGGGGATGCTTTCATTTGATTAAATCTATATTACAGAGCAAGGGTTGCTTGTTACTTTGTTTCTTATTTACTTTATATAGTACTAAAGAAATTCTTTTTTCTGTGTGGTATTAATTTATGCTATGTACCCATTCACAATTCTCCTCGCAAATTTGTCCCGTATTTAAAGTACATTTAAGGCATATAGTGGCAATCTAAGAATCCATGTAATTTTCTACCCATGGATTGAACAGAAACTGAGATTTCGTGGAATTATGACCTAAGGCTCATGAAAAAAAGTACCTTTACAGTATTAAGAAGAAAATTTTTAAGAATTTATTGTATATACAGGTGACTCTCGATCTCTCGAAGTTCAAGGGACTGCAAGAAAAGTTCGAGAGATCGAGGGGTTCGAGAGATAGAAAGTGAATAATATCCGGAATTTTCAGTTCCGATCATCATTGTTCTACTATTATAAATACCGGAAGTATATGTTGATAATATCATTGCACGTTTTCATTCATATTTAATAGGTAATTCACTTGATTTCAAAAGATTTCAACAACAATGATCGTATTTTGAATAAATAAAACAATCTCTTTCAGTTTCAATATTTCTTTGTTCTCATTTCATGATAACATGAATCCTGAATAGCAGTCGTCGGTGTTGCTACCCCCCGGGGCTTGATCGGGTCACCAGATTTCTCATATTAAATCAGTATTCAATTCTTGTGCAATGTTAGTCATACTGGGATTACGTAGACTATAATAAAACTTTTCTTATAATCTATGGAAAATTATTGACATGTCTCTTAAATTGTTTTCTAAAAATTATCGTCTCGCTGTCAAGTCAAAATATGTTGTGAAGCAATTCGTTTATAATTTACAAATTATAACCAATTAATTATATCAACACTCGGATGCTCACAGGTATAGTGTCATCTATGTAAACACCCAATTAACGCCTCCATGCCAGCCCCAGGCGCTCATTATTATCCAGGTAAGTCCAAGCTGCATTAATTTAACGCTTGATTGGCGTGTACACACGTGCAATCAAAACTTCGAGAGATAGAGAGTAAAATACAATGAAATGTATATAACGGGACCCAGGTCTAGGTTCGAGAGATAGAGAACTTCGAGAGATCAGAAGTTCGAGAGATCGGAAGTAAATTTGCTTAGTTATATAGAGGAAAACAAGAGGCCCATGGGCCTTGAATCGCTCTTCTGATAAACTGTACAACCTATCACTTCTATTTGAAGCCTCAAAGTATCCTGTATATTTACATAAACCCTTGAAATTCCAATTCACACTCTGAGAACCCAAGATGATTCTAAGCCAATTAGTACCTGAGAGTTGGTCATGGTGACCTACTTATCACTTGTCATTCTCTGAGGACCCATCAACTAAATTTGATGATTCTAAGCCAATTAATACCTAAAATATTTTTTAAAATTATAATCATATAATTTTATAAGTAGGTCAAAGTGACCTACTTTTCAATTGTTTTACTCCAAGGACCCAAGATGCATCAACTGACAAAGTTTGATGATTCTAAGCCAATTAGTACCTGTAATATTTAATTAAAGCCATAAATTTTCAAAAGTAGGTCACCGTGACCTACTTTTCAGTTGCTGTACTCCGAGGACCAAAGATACATCGACTGACAAAGTTTGATGATTCTAGCCAATAAGTACCCAAAATATTTAATTACAGCCATAAATTTTCAAAAGTAGGTCACAGTGACCTACTTTTCAGTCAACCTACTCCGAGGACCAAAGATGCATCAACTTACAAATTTTGACGATTCTAAGCCAAATAATTCCTGAAAATATTAAATACAGCCATAAAATTTCAAAAGTAGGTCACCGTGACCTACTTTTCAGTTGTTGTACTCCGAGGACCCATGACGCATCAACTAACAAAGTTTTATGATTCTAAGCCAATTAGTACCCGAAATATTTTATTAAAACCATAAATTTTCCGAAAGTAGGTCATGGTGACCTACTTTTTAGTCGACCTACTCCGAAGACCCATGACGCATCAACTGACAAAGTTTGATGATTCTAAGCCAATTAGTACCCGAAATATTTAATTAAAGCCATAAATTTTCAAAAGTAGGTCACGGTGACCTACTTTTTAGTCAATCTACTCTGAAGACCCAAGATGCATCAACTGACAAAGTTTGATGATTCTAAGCCAATTAGTACCCGAAATATTTAATTAACGCCATAAATTTTCAAAAGTAGGTCATGGTGACCTACTTTTTAGTCGACCTACTACGAAGACCCAAGATGCATCAACTGACAAAGTTTGATGATTCTAAGCCAATTAGTACCTGAAATATTTAATTATAGTCATATAAATTGAAAAGTAGGTCACGGTGACCTACTTTTCAGTTGACCTTTTTTGAGGACCCAAGATGCATCAACTTACAAAGTTTTATGATATAGGACTTAAAATGTCCAAATTATGCCTCTAAAACGCTTTGAAATCGAATGCCTGCAAAGTTCAAAAAGTAGGTCACTGTGACCTACTTTTTAATAAATATGTTTTATGGCCCCAAGATGCATCATCTTACAAGATTTAGTGATTCTAAGCCTCCCCGTATTCGAATTAATGACCTTAATTGTTTTAAAAAAGATTAGCCATAAAATTCAAAAAGTAGGTCAAGGTGACCTACTTTTTAGTTGACGTACTTTGAGGACCCAAGATGCATCAACTGACAAAGTTTGATGATCATAGGCCTTAAATTGTTCAAAATATGCCTCTAAATCATTTTGAAAAAGAATGGCCGCAAAATTTAAAAAGTAGGTCACCGTGACCTACTTTTGAGTCAACATGATATGAGGTCCTTAGATGCACCAACTGACAAGATTTGATGATCCTAGTCCTTATAGTAAGCAAAATATCAACATTTTAATAAAATGTAATTTTTGGTCAACTTTGAAGTGACCTTGAGACCACGCCCTTTGCCCCAGGGTAAATCCCCGTGCAAATTTTAATCTACAACATATCCTCATCCTTTTGTGTAAGTTTGGTGATAATCTGCCCAGTGGTTCTTGAGAAGAAGATTTTTTAGCAACCAGTACTTTTTTCCCTATTTTCCTAATTATCTCCCCTTGTTAAAGGGTCACAACCCCAGTTTTAGTATAAAAGGGAGCCCTTGGGCCAAGGATACCCTGTGACAAATTTGACAATAATTGGCCAAGGGGTTCTTGAGTTATGGCCCATATTCTAAAAAGTTTACGCACACCGCACACCGCACAAATGGCCATAGCATTAGCTCTTTGAGCCTTTGGCTCAGAAGAGCTAAAAATGGGACCGGAGGTTCTCTTCGAGAGATCGAGAACTTCGAGAGATCGGAGTTCGAGCCATCGAGAGTCACCTGTACATGTATTTTTACATTTATGTAAAACTTTGATAACTTATTGTGGCCCATCCCAACCCCTGATGTCTGTGATGTAAAAAAAAACTTATAGATTATATAAAGATGCACACATACTAACTTGACAAATATTTTAAATTGTTCCACTACATCACTACATATTCTGGTACAGAGGCCCATTGGCCACAATGATCAGTTACCTTGCTATTCTGTAGAAGAGGATTTGAAAGATTTTTCCCTATTTATATCCAGGAAAATCTTTCACCCCATAGCCCATAGGCCCCCCTTTCATGTTAACATTCTAGCTATAATGGTGACAACTTTACCAAACTTGAATCCACACAACATGGATGATGTTTCAATATGAATTTAACTAACATAGCCTTACTGTTCAGGAGAAGATTTTTGACAGATATTTTCCTGTAAACACTCTGACATTGTACAAAATTTTATCTCCAATTTTAGTCCTATCCTAACCCCGTGGTCCATAATTTAAAAAGTTGAATCCATACAACTTGGGATTATATTTAATATCATGGTTTAGTGTAGCCTTTCTACTTTTGAAAGGATTAAAAAAAATTTCCTATATACTGTTAAAGTGGAAACTTTGGCGATGTGGAAAAATTGAGGAACGATTAAATATTGTCAGTTTCCACTCATCAACTTCCACATTCTTGTTAAAGAGCACTGTTTTAAAATGCTATTAGATTGTCTAAGTTTTCACTCGCCATATTTTTGAATCGTCAAAACTTTCAATCCTTCGATATAACCACACTGACAGTATTTCTGTGATCAGATCTGACAGCAGCAAGGCCTTTGCCAAGGGGTATGTGTTTGGTGCTATTGCATCCCTCCCTTTTTAAACACTTAAAAAATTATAATTTATTTGTTTGAAGAAATGCTGCTTGATTTTGTTTCTCTAATATCTGAAAGAATGGCTTCAAGAAAAGAACAGAATCTAACAAATGGTACCAATTTGTAACAAAATTTCTGGCTCAGGGGAAGGGAGTACCACTGGCATACCCGCTTTTGCACCCCCTCTCCAGAAACCTGGCAACAGCCCTGAGCAGGTGATCAGAAAACTGAAATTGAACCTTCTGTTCGGTTAAGCTAATAAAACTCTGACCCATCCTCACATGGGAGGTGAGGTGAGGGGCACGATGTGAAAAAATATGAATCTGAAGACGAAAATTGTGAATTCTGGTTATTTAATTTGAATCTCTGTGGCTTTGCTGTTCCACCAAAATTTAAAGAAAAAGATGAAATTTCTGACATAGTCCAAAAGTAAAATTTGAATCTCTTTTGTGGCCCTATCCAAGCCATGGAACCAGTTGAACCTAAAGATGCAATACATGTAATGAACCTTTCATCTGAGTTCTGTATTTTCTAGCTGGCCCAGTGTCCTTCACAAGAAAATTTTTAAATATCCCATTCAATATGCCATATTTTTACTAATTTCTTAATTATCTCCCCTTGAGATTATTGTGTTCCTTCATTAAGATACATCTGAACTTGCTGAATTATCTTTTTATATGAGGACGTATTGTGCTAAGTTTGGTTAAAACTGGCTTAGAAGCAATCTAATTAAAATTTGATGTGGTTCTGAATCTGTTAACATCCCACATGGGTCAAGTCAGAGCGACCTTTCAATTATGAATAAAGTTAACATGAAAATTTTTGCCAATTGGATTCAAGATTCTTTATGTTATTCTAAGAATAGTTCTACTGCTACATCATTATATTTCTGATGCTCAGTAGTCTGTATTACATTGATTTAAGTTTATTATGCTATGAATTTAATTTAATAGTCCACTCATGTCATTCCTGTATAATGAAAAATGAAAATGCAAAAACAGTTTAATACAGAAATCCCACATTCTTGAGAACATAACAGATGGTCACTCTGACGTGACCCCATATTGGATGTTCTTAGATGTTTGAGAAGGATAGTGGATTCAAAACATCTAATTTTAATTAGATTGGCTGAGTAGTTTTTGCATTAAAAAAAAAGAAAATTGGAAAGGCATGAAATGATTAGGGACAACATACAGATCTTTGTCAAGCACAACATGTGCAGAAAAATTTACTTCAGACTTTGGCTCCTAAGAGTTAAAAAAAGGCCTTTATACAAAGAGTTTTTGATGAACAAAAAAATCCCTTTTTTTCCAAGGGAGATTTTTGAACAAGAGATAGATCATATTTTGCTTGAATAAATTAAAAATATTTTTGAGAGAGGAAAACATAACCCATATACCAGTAGTTGAAGATAAAACTCATACTTAGAAAAGGAATCTTTAAAGACCTACCTCTAGATCCCTGTTTTTCATCATCCACTTCATCACTTTCTTGAACTCTGAAATAAAAACAAAGCTTAATAACATGTACATGTACTTGCTTGATATATCGATATATCAACTTTCTTTGCATCAACAATTCCATGCCCCTAAAATAAACATTCTTTTAGAGATATCTACTCTTGGAGTCAAGTAGCATTAAACTCTGAAATGCGGCAAACATAAAATATACCTTTTCTGTAAACTGGGGAATATTAGAATCTAAGGTGGGTGTACCTGTTCTGTGAGCTAGGAATGGTTGATTTGAATTTTTGCATACTTGTTCTGGGAATGGTTGAGTCTAGAATGTTTACATACCTGTTCTGAGAGCTGGCGATTGTTGAGTCTGGAGTGTTTACATACCTGTTCTTAGAGCTGGAAATGGTTGAGTCAGGAGTGTTTACATACCTGTTCTAAGAGTTGGTGATTGTTGAGTCTGGAGTGTTTACATACCTGTTCTTAGAGCTGGGAATGGTTGAGTCTAGAGTGTTTACATACCTGTTCTGAGAGATGGAAATGGTCAAGTCTGGGGTGTTTGTATACCTGTTCTAAGAGCTAAAATGGTTAAATATGGAGCAGGTATTTATATACCTGTTCTGAGAGATGGGAATGGTTGACTACCTGTTCTGTGAGCTGAGAATGTTTGAGTCTGGAGTGTTTACATAACTGTTCTATGAGCTGGGAATGGTTGTGTTTTGAAGTGTTTATATACAGTCAAACTTGTCATAGCGGTCACCTTTATCCAACGGTCACCTGTCCTATGCGGTCATTTTATTTCCTCCCAATGAATTTTCCTATATAATGTAATTCTATTAAGCGGTAACCTTCGTAACGCGGTCAGCGGTCATCAAATTTCATGTAAAATTGCCGTTTTACCTCGTATATAGTGGCCATTTTGTCCGATCACGTGACCTGATCTAGGGTCAGGTGACTTCCAATTTTTGTCACTAATGTAAATAATTGGTCTTGTTTAGCTAGATCATGGAAAAAAACAATTGGCCTTATTAAAACCATTTAAAATATTGGATATTTTTATTTGTTTTTTTTTTAACAAAACTAAACAAGGGTAATAGCGACCGAAAAGGTTATCAGGAAAACGGACTTACGAGAATCTTAATCTTACTGAATATTGGAATCTGGTTTAAAAAATTCTGAGTGATATTAAAAAACAAGGCATCCTTATATATCTATTAATGGATACAATAATTGCATGGCAGGCTGTTTTTAACACCTAGGAAACATATAATTTGTAGAAACCCTAATTACTGTTTTGTATACTCAATGTGTCCTGATTATCTCGTGATTTTCAACTAGGTAAGACGACCGTTATGATAAGTCATGTTTCATTGCTCACAACACCTGTGAATTTGATATCAATTTGTAATATGCGCTGCTTTGATAAACTGAGAATATTATGACTTGTCTGTTTATTACGCAACTATTTATGTATTATTTAACATAAAATTATCAGGACTAACTAAACTTGTTTCTTTAGAGGCAGTTTAGATAAAAAAAATACATTATATTTTATTCATGGCACAACATAATAATGTAATCTTATAATAAAAGAAAGTCTGGTTGTTTGGAGGGAGGATAATGCAATGCCCTATGAGACTCAATATATTTTATGTTGGAGTCATCAAATTTAGCTTGAACTTAATCTTGAGACTATATTTAAAATTTAAAAAAAAATCTAACTGAGACCATTGATGTCCAAAACACATCCTTCTTTAATATTCTATGATGTAGTATTTTAAAACACAGAACTTACATAAATTGGAAAAGAATTTTTCTTGAAAAAAGATGAACCTCTTTTCAAAGGTCACCTCTCTATAAAGGTCACTTTTAATGGTTCCCGCAGGTGACTGCTTAATGCAGGTTTGACTGTACCTGTTCTGTGAATTGAGAATGGTTGCATTTGAAGTGATTATATAGGTTACCTGTTCTGTGAGCTGGGAAGTGTTCGGGCCTGGAGCTGTGCTGCTGTTACATCTACAGGGAAGTCTCGGCATCTCTGCTTTAAAATGCTGTCTAATGCTACAATAATTTTTGTGATGTTGTTAATTACAATAACCAATGTGCCACTATACAACATAAAATCTGGTACAAAATGCTTTAGAAATCTACAACAAGAGTTACTGTATGTTTTTAATTCCACAATGTTAAAATTCACAATTTCTCAAAAAGTACCAATCGCGATGATAATTTCATGCTGCAAGAAATTTCGTATAAGCATATAAACATTTTTAAAAACTAATGAAAGCATTTACGATAGATTTAATTTCACGGAAAAATGTAAAACGTGAACATAGTGAAATCAAAACCATCGTGATTATTTGCCAATCTACAGTATTTAATAAGTTATTGATGCATTTAATTTTATATGTAAATGAGGTAATTTCAAGAAATAACCATATACATGTATAAATAGCTAATCATCAGATTAGTCAGACTACAAAATTTTACTTAATCTGGTTTATTCATCAGAACTCCCTCTGCATCAGTCATACTGTGCAATGTATATAACTTTACACAACCTCAGCAATTCTGAAAATCACATGACTACCCGTACTGATCTATTCATAAACTCACTATTTCCTATCCTCTTGAGGTCATCTAATAGAATTCCATTAACTGTGCCAGGTGCCTGAAAATATACCAACATTACTAGGTAAAGAACATGTCAACTATATAATCCACAGCAAGAGTGCACCCAGGGGGTGGAGGGTGGGTGCCCAAGGGGTCTGGACCCCCCTCCCTCTTTTTGCAGATTAAAATAACCACACACATATCAAGTTCAACAAAAGAGTTTATAAATATAGAGCTGAGTAGTAAGTCTTAAAACTGTTGCCAGGTCTCCCCAAGATATTATATACACTTTGTGTAAAAGCAAAGGGAGTGTACATGTAAATGGGATGGATGTGGGTTGTGAAAACTGCCTTTATGATCATGTGGTGGAACCCCTCCCCATTTCACAGATTCCTGGATCTTCCTATGCAGAGTAAAAATCTATCATTATGAGCATATAATAGTGCAATAAAAATATTTTTTTTTTACATTGATACAAGCAATTTATTTAACAACATGGGCCATGAAAACACTGTAGAAAATATCCTAATTCAGTTCCAGGTAAAAAAAAAAAAAAAAAAGAAGAAGAACAAAATTCTATACAGCACAATGAGTTAACTTTTAGGAGTACCAAATGTAGGAGTGGTAATTACACTGGTTAAACCTGTGGGTTGTGATGATGGAAGAACAGACTACATTTCTTAAAACCATTTTTTAAACTGGGAATAAATGTAGTTTGAAAAACTTGTAAGGGTGCATGTGGTGTTTTGGGCAAATAAAGATGGCTCTGAGTTTCTTAATGATATCCATTCAGTTAGTATATATACATCCCTGATTTGAACAAACTTAAATCCATATGATTTTGGGAATGTTTGCATATCAATATGGTTAAGACTGGCACTGCTATTCTTGATAAGAATTTTTTAAAACAATTTTCCTTCATATTCCAAGGTAAAAATCTGAATTTCTACTTTAGCCCCTTCCTAACTGATGGGGCAATGATCTGAAACAATATAAATCTGCACAACATTGGAATGCTTGCATATTAATATACATGTACTTGGAAAAGAGAATTCTAAATGCTTTTTCCCTATATATTCCATGTAAATATTTCATCCCCTAGAGTGGTCCATTCTGTTTCCTGGGCCATCAATTGAATGGTATCCAGAGGTCTCGGCCCATCATATCCTACAGGTCAGCCCACGATTTAAGACTCTTGGCTCAAAGAAATTACATTAATTCATGAAAAAAAAAATTCATTTCCTACAATACCTTTTAGAGAATAAGTACACAAACTGTCATGTATAATGAATACTATTTAAGAAATAAGGTATCATTTTTAAACTTTCTATCAGGCTTTATGGTAGATTTTGCTAAGAAATAAAGAATATAAAAAATCTGCAGCCAAAAATTGAGGCTAAATCAATCTTATGACATTTCATCGTTCTATACATATTTAATTACCTGTAATGCTTTACATCTCAGGTCCAAACAGATGCCTATCTTCCTCAGGACTTTCTAAAAATATTTTTAAAGATAATGAAACGCAAAATTATTTTCAACGATTATTTCATTTAAATTTTACAAATGATCAATAATCTACCTGACACAATAACATTCAATGGACTTTGGATTCTAGCTAAAGGATTTTGATTCTTTACACATACATTGTACATGCTGTACAACCCATCAAAACAATGCTAAAATAAATTGGCCCAAGTTGGTTATACGGAAAAGTAGTTCGTATTAAAAAAAATATTTGAGGATATAAATGAGTAATTATCACTACTTTTTATTAAAAATAAATTTAAAATAAATATAAGATTCTTTGAGATGTAAATCTTTTTAAATCTAATATTATCTAGTTGTACAATGGTTGTTAGCATAACAGTATTCAATTCTACAGATCTACAAGTCTACAGGTCGACAGGTCTACATGCTCGTTGTACAATAGGTTGTTGAAACTGGAGTATACAGGTCTACAGGTCGACAGGTCTACATGCTAGCTGTACAATAGGTTGTTAGTATAGGAGTATACAAGTCTACAGGTCGACAGGTCTGCAAGCTAGCTGTACAATAGGTTGTTAGTATAGAAGTATACAAGTCTACAGGTCGACAGATCTACAGGTCAACAGGTCTTTATGCTAGTTGCACAATAGGTTGTTAGTATAGGAGTATACAAGTCTACAGGTCAACAGGTCTGCAAGCTAGCTGTACAATAGGTTGTTAATATTGGAGTATACAGGTCTACAGGTCGACAGGTCAACAAGTCGACAGGTGTACATGCTAGTTGTACAATAGGTTGTCAGTATTGGAGTATACAAGTCTACAGGTCGACAGGTCTGCAAGCTAGCTGTACAATAGGTTGTTAATATTGGAGTATACAGGTCAACAAGTCGACAGGTCTACATGCTAGTTGTACAATAGGTTGTCAGTATTGGAGTATACAAGTCTACAGGTTGACAGGTGTACATGCTTGTTGCACAATAGTCTGTTAATAGTATACAAGTCTACAGGTGGACAGGTCTACAGATCAACAAGTCTACAGGTCGACAGGTCTACATGCTAGTTGTACAATAGGTTGTTAGTATTGGAGTATATGTTTACAGGTCGACCTGTGGTGATTGGGCAGAATGTGAAACTGTTTTTCATAAATATTATACATTTTAACGGGGGCCATATTAACATGTAGACCTGTCGACCCGTAGACCTGTCGACCTGTAGACTTGTCGACCTGTTGACCTGTAGACTTCACCGACCCGTACACCTGTAGACCTGTCAACCTGTAGACTTGTTGATGTCAGTTTGTGTTTTATAGATTCATATATGCATATTTATGAATAAAATGAAATATAATTATATGCATATAATAAATAATTAAGAGTTCTTTGATTTCAAATTAATATCTATTTAAGAGGACTATTCACTCCTATTTCAATATGAGTGAATCTGCAGGAACTACATATCCGTATACTATACTTGACCCAATAAATTAATATCCCACACTTTCAGTGAAAGCTGGGGACAAGGAGAGAATGTTGTAGATCCTAACAAAAGGCTAAGTGAACTAAACCCTATTGTGGCCTGGATTGGTCTTGTTATAAATTACAAACCTGTTATATAATATATTGATCATGTAAAATGTAAACCAGAAGTCTCTGGTGAGACAACAGCTCTACTGGTTTATACTTTTAACAAAAAAAAAAAGAGAAAAGTAGCACTTGGGCTTGAAACTTTTCAACAGCAATGAAAAGAATAATGATCCTTGGTTTAGTCTCATTTAGTGGCAAGATTTATTGCAATCAGACTAAAACTGTAAGATGGGTAGCCTTTTGATAGAATTTAACAGAAATGTCTATTTTTAGTAATCATGGCAACACCGATCATCAAAAAACGATAAAGAGAATTTATCTCAGTGTAGTCTACTTGCATGCTCAGTTACGTTAAAATAGGCCAAAATTGTAGGAGGAGTAGCATTTTGAAAGTATTTCACAGAAATTTCTATTTTTAGTAACCAGGGCAACATCATTCATTAAAATCAAAAACAGATAGGTAGAATTATGAAGCTAAGTGTAGTCTACATATGTGCCAAGTTATATTGAAATCAGACCAAATCTGTATGCTGATATTTCACGAAAATTTCTATTTTTAGTTACCATGGCAACACCATTCATTGAAATCAAAAAATGATAAACAGAATTATGTCGCTTAGTGCAATCTACTTGTATGCCAAATTAAACTGAAATCAGACCAGAATTGTAGAAGGATAATCATTTTGAATGTGCTTCACAGAAATTTCTATTTTTTGTCACCATGGCAACATAGTTCACCAAAATCAAAAACCGATAAATAGAATTATGTAGCTTAGTGTAGTCTACATGTTTGCCAAATTATATTGAAATTAACCCAAAACTGTACAATTCCTGTATGAGGACTAGCATTTCGAAAGTATTTCACAAAAATTTCCATTTTAGTAACCATGGCAACACTGTTCATCATATTAACCAGAAGACTCTAACAAACTGAAGCTCTTTTGGTGTGTACTAATAATAAAGAAAGATGTATTTTAGTGAAGTCTACTTCCGTAAAAAGTCTAATCAGATTAAAACTTTTGGAGGAGTAGCATTTAAAAAAATCAAAGAAATTTATTTTTTTTTGGTCATCATGGCAACATCATAATAAATAAAACAAAAAATAGAACAATGCATCTTTATGTTGTCTAACTGTGTACCAGATTTTATTAAAACTGGACCAAAACTGTAGAGGAGTAGTGTTTTGAAAGAAGTTCAAAGAAATATCTATTTTCAGTAACCATGGCAACACCATTTGTTGAAATCAAAAATCAATAAACAGTAGTGTTGAATAATCAGAGAAAAATCATAATCGATAATCGGTTGTAATCGGAAACACAAAATCGATTGATAATCGGCTATAATCAGAATTTTTTCCCTTTCAAATAAAATAAGAAATTCCTTAACATGTTAAAGCATAATTATCATAAAAACATTTGTATCTTCTTCTATTCAGTTTCATAAGTATAAATAAAGTCAGTAATTAATATAAATAAACAAAATATTTTTTACAGTAAATTTGTTTAATGACAAAGAATTCTTATTCTTAATTTTTCTCAGGAAAATTGAAAATAAGAGAAATTCCTGTAGGAAGCTTCATTAAAAAAATAAATACATGTATACAAATGGGAACATTACTGATATTAGTTACACCTTCTATTATTTATTTTCTTGGAATTACTTTCCCTAATTTTAATTTAAACTTTAAAAAATTGTTAATAATTAAGTTTATTGAACGTCTGTACTATTTGTGTACTTCTGATTATAGTAAAACACCATAACGCTAAACATTTCCTGTTGTTAGCCTGACCTTACATTCAATCACGTCGGAAAAAATTGTCTACAACAACCGTTGATGTGAAGTGAAGAAGGTTGTTACCTCTTAAACATTCAGAATAACTTTTTTTACTTTCTGCAAATGTATTTTTGGTAATAAAATTTGAAGTTTACACCCACATTAACTCTTAATATTTTCATCAGCGATGTCGGCGACTTTAGTTTTATAATCGATTAATAGCATCAAAGAGCTCCATTCGATCGACAATCAATTGTCGGCGACAATCATTTCATCACTAATAAACAGAATTATGTATTTTAATGTAGTTTACTTATTTACCAAGTCTTACTGAAATTGGACCAAAACTGTAGTAGGAGTAGTGTTTTGAAAGATTTTCAAAGAAATTTCTGTTTTTTATTAACCATGAAACACCATTTGTCAAAATCAAAAGCTGATACACAGAATTGTGTATCTTAATGTAGTTTACTTATGTACCAAGTCTTATTGAAATTGGACCAAATCTGTAGAAGGAGTAGTGTTTTGAAAGAATTTTAAAGAAATTTCTATTTTTAGTAACCATGGCAACATCGTTCATGAAATCAATAAACCGATATATAGAATTAAGTATCCTAATGTAATCTACTTATTGGACCAAAACTGTAGGACGAGCAGTGTTTTCAAAGAATTTCAAAGAAATTTCTAACTGTAGTAACCATGGCTACTCCATTTGTCGAAATCAAAAACCAATACAAAGAAATGTGTATCCTAATGTAGTCTACTTGTGTACCCAGTCTTACTAACATTGGACCAAAACTGTGGGAGGAGTAATATAGCCTTTTGAAAAATTGTTTACAGACAGACAGATGGACACCTTACCAATGCATAACCTCTCTCTGACCAGCAGAGCTAAAAACCAATACAAAGAGTTATGTATCTTAGTGTACATGGTGTAGTCTACTTGTGTGCCAAGTTATATTGAAATCAGACCCAAACTGTGGGAGGAGTAGAGTTTTGAAAGTATCTCACAGAAATTTTTATTTTTAGTAACCATGGCAACATTGTTCATTGAAATCAAAAACCGATAAAAAGAATAATGTATCTTAGTGTAGTCTTATTGTGTGCAAAGTTATCAGACCAAAAACTTTAGGTGTAGCATTTTTGAAAAAAATTCATAGACAGACAGACACCTTACTATCGCATAAACTCTTCCGGTCTCTGACCAGTACAGTTGAAAAGAACACATTTTCTTAGAATTTCCTAAGCAGCTGTCATTGTGCATACCTTTTGTTCATCTGAGAAAAGTGGAAACTCTGCATTGGCAAAATCATCTAGTTGTTTTGATAGTCTGTAAAACAGAAGAATACCAGTAATTTTTGTGATTATGACAGGTTTGTATGTTTTTTTTCTTCTAAACTTTGTAATTTGATCATTTCCTTTCATTGGGAATTCAAGAGGTTGCGAATGTTTCTTTTTTCTCCAGCTGATCAATTCTGGGTCACAGAACCTGTGTCAAGAAAGCTTCACAAGCTGAATGAGTCAATCACAGATCCACAAAATTAAACAGTTAAACAGGTTCATCTTCACTTAACATTTGACAATGTGTTCTTGATTACGCCGTTGGACCATTTGGTGCGACGTTAGACTGATCAGCAAGATGTTGGACCACTAGGACATTTTTTACATCACACTTCATTCCTCAGCAAGGACAAGATTCTCAGACCCAACAAGCTATATCTTATTTCACATTTGTTGGTGACTGATAGTTACAGAATTAACCGTGTTAAATATGTAGTGTAGGTAAAGGAAATTTACATTTAGTTTTTGTCATCTGTGTCTCAAACATGAAAGCCAGTGGAAGATACATGTATGTCATGATAAAAAGTAAAAAATATAACAAAACATATATTCATTGACTGGGGTCTGGGGCAGAATGCATTTTGCAGAACCCAAGAAACAAACTGATTCCCTTCAGCTTTTATGCCTCAGTTTGGTTCGAGAGATTGGCAAAACATATCATGCCCTCAAATAATGTTTTGTTCTGTTGTAATAGCTTTTTTCAAGGACTAGACAATTGCATTTTTATATAAAAATGCCAAAGATTTATGAATAATTTCAATATATGATGTTTATGAATGGAAAGTATAAAAGTTTTTTGATAGTTGATACGACATAGACATATATTGTAATTTAAACCATTCATGTAGCGCAGAAACATTCAAAGAGCACCAAACTGGGGTATTCTTCACTGACACATGTAACAACAACGGCAGGATATAAAAAGTCCATAGTTTTCTACATAAATTACATATGTAACAAAACCTTTTGTAGCCATCCATAGCTTCAATTGGTTGGCCCCATAAATCGAAATCGGTGCACTGAGCGAATGATTTGCCAAGCGCCAAGATTGCTTGGCGTTGTTCCTCTTCACTTGTCATATCAATTTCTCACATTGCAGGTCCGCTCTTCGGAACTCCTTGACATTTACCGACTCAAAATTTAGACAAGGCTAAACACCGGAAAAGTATTACCACAGCCCTCTATATATAAATACATTTATATAGGGGGTATAGGTATCACTCTGGTCAATCATATATCGGCTTATTGATAGAAATTCAGAGGCATGTTGTATCAGAAATTAGAAGAATTCCTTGATGTATGTCATATATATATACATATGCATGACGTGTCTGAATCGATCCTTTAGAATCATCAGCATATTGTTCATTCATTGTGTAAAAAATCAAAGAATTAATGATAATCAATATTTATTTAACTTAGATGTGCATAAAAATTTTTGTGTGTTTTAGTATTTTTGAGGGATTTTTTTAATATGTAAAATGAAAAAAGAAAGAAAAAGAAAAAAAGTCATATTAAAATACCCATAGGTCTTTCAAATTCCACATATATTAAACACTTAAAACTCACGTGTTAAGAACCACTGGTGAAAAATATTAGAAAAAGAGAAGGCTCATCCATTCAAGTGAATTTGATTTGTATTGAACAAATTACGAACTAGAAATGTGATAATGCAATATATATATACCACCATGGTTGTTAGCTTGAAATATCCGTTCCAGTGTTTAGACTTGGCCATTCCCCCACTAATAGGGTCAAGCGTTCCGAAGATTTGTGTTTATGTTGAAGATCCAATTCCAAGTTGTTTCATATGGCGTAGAATCTTTAACCTTTGTGAGATACAATATATGTTTCAAAAATATGAAACACGTGACAATGCATAAATAAATTTGTTTCATAAAACAACATGACATTTAAAAAAAAAATCAATAATAAAAAGTTTTAGGAGGTCAGGTGCGAAGCATGCGCGGTAGCTCTTGACAAATTAACTTCCTGTTCGGGATTCGCGGAAGCTCTGTCGAAAAGGGTATATTATCTCATTGTAGACGAGCCGTGGTAACAAAATGTGATGTATATTGTTTTTAGAGTCACTATGTATGCAACTGCCACAAGGCAGTTGTCTGTTTTACGACATAAATATACACAATTTGTGCGAAGTTGAAGGTCATGTTGGCTTATTCACTTCTATAGAATATTTATGCAAAAAGAAACAAAAAAATTCATCATGGTTTCATGAATTTGTCAAATGCGGATTAGTTCATAACAGTAGGAATGTTTCCTCCAAGTTTTCCTGAAAACTTCAACGCACAAGAGTGGAAGGGTATATTTGTTCAAGCTCTTGAAAATGTAAGTTCTGGAATACTACTTCAAAGTGTATATCCATTTTGAATGCATGACATTTTATATTAAATCTGTTAATATATTGTGAGGGTAGACAGACATCTCGGCCCAATGACACCTCGGCCCATCACGCTTGACATCTTGGCCCTGACAGATCGACCCAAGATTGTTGACAAGTCGTCCCATATAAAAGAACCTCACGCCCAAGCATAATTTTATGATGAAAAAAATTAACAGATTTACCCAGTATTTGAATTGATATTATTATTATTGGTGTTATAATTCTTTCTGACAAATTCTTTCTTTCTAAAAAAAAAAATGATCGTTAATTTTGTATTTACAAAAAAAAGAAAAGAAATAAAGAAAAAACTGAAAGACATTTTATTGTTTATATAGATCTATATGTCTATATAAATTATCGTATAAAGATATATGTAAAATAAATTGCATTTTTGATCTGTACTTCATTGTTTCTTTTTTGAAAATCACACTTGCTTTGATACCTGGAAAAAAGGGGGAAAAAAAGAAATGGACTTGAACTAGTTATAAGCGACGATAATAAATTTATGAATGGAAGTTTTTTTCTTAAGAAATAAATGAGAAAATATTCAATGGATGTAAATGTCTTTAATAACTGTCTCCCAATTAAGCTGCTCGTAATTAACCACATGTTGTCACCAAGTTGACCCTCCAAAGGATGCACTGCGACATTCTGTTTGTTTATCATTTAGCACGTTTACTTAATTTACAGCATTGTCTTCTCATTCCTTTATATATCGTCAATGTGCTCGTATAAGGACTTTTTTTAAAAAAAAATCTTGATAGTTTATTCATGTACTTTTTTCACTTTATATTTAATTCAAGTCCCCAAATTGGAGATACAAATGTATATATATTAAATTCATAGTAAATTTTTGCTTGGGCCGAGGTGTCTTATGTATGGGCCGACCTGTCTTAAATCTTGGGCCGACCCGTCTGAGCCGAGATGTCATTGGGCCTAAATGTCAATGGGCTGAGGTGTCTGACATTCATTGTGAGATTAGATATGAATATGCCCATGATATTGTGAGAGTACTGGATTGAAAAAAAATGTCTGACGAACATTTGTTGAAGTCATTAAATGTGTTAAAAAAAATCAGATAAGGTGTCATTTTACAGTCCTATGACAAATCATTTGCTATAGTATAATAGATGGATAAATTATTGTTCTTTAAAGTATTTTTAGTATTCGCATACAAGATTAAGTTTTACATCTGCAATATCAAAACAAAACAAAATCTTGAGAGAAAAAAGGAGTTGTTTCTCAGGACTAGCACTGGCAAGAAATGCATAAAGGATGGATTTAAGTGCATGTATAGAAATTTCTATCATTAAAATGATTTTCTCCTACATAGGTACCCACTTTAATGATAGAATTCATTCCTTGTGTTGGCATTGTAGCAAAATAAGCGGGAAAATAATTCTACTCTATATGTATACTAGCTATGAAATATTCAGAGAGCTCTGAATGTCAATATGACAGATTATTTTGAAGCGAGTTAAACAAAAAAAAATGAAAAATTGTGTGAATTATTTCTTTACATTGATTAATTTTTTGATGTAAGGTACTAATAAGCTCAATAGGTTTTTTTTTTATGAATAATAGTTATTTTTTATGCAACTTTGTAATTCTCCTAAATTGTGCCAGAGCAGATTCACTCCATTTTGCTACATTGCAAATATATGGGACTTTCTAACTCTGGTGAGGGCTTGCCCCGAGACACAATTATATTATTCTAACAAGGATTTAAGAATTTGAGTCCATAACTGGTTAATTTTATAGTTTCTTTGTATTTTATGACATATCTGAAATATGTAAAATAAATGATCTTTTTATGCCCCACCATGAATATGGGCTGGGGCATACTTGTATACAAGTATATAGTGTTTGGCATGTCCATCTTCTGTCCTTCCATTCTTCCCAGTCTTCTATCCTATCCTTCCGTCATACTTTGCGTTTAGCTCAGTTTCCAACAAACTATTCAGGATATTTTTTTTTCTTCAAATTTTATATGCTGATACATATATACATGATTAATGAAAGCTATTGAACTTCATCAACATTTTTTTTACCTTGACCTTTCTTTTGACCTTGACCTTACTTTTCAAAAAAAATGTGTTTAGCTCTGTCAGTTGAATGAAACTATTCAAGGTGTTTTTAATTTTTAGTCAAACCTTATATGCTGATACATATTGCTAAAAGCTATTTAACTTGATCAACATTTTTTTTTACGTTGATCTTTCCTTTGACCTTTTTAAATTTGTGTTTAAGTAAGTTTCAAAGAAACTATTAAAAGATATTTTTATCAAACTTCATAATTACTTATACATATTGATGAGAGCTATTCAATTGCTTCAACATTTCTGATGTTGACTTTTTCTTTGACCCTACTGTTCTCAATTTTGCGTATAGCTCAGTTTTAAAGAAACAAATCAATATATTTTTATTAAATTTCATATGCTGATACATTTTAATGAATGCTATTGACTTGAATCAAATTTTTTTTACCTGACCTGACTTCTATACATTTAGGCTGTAATTAAAAAAATCTGAGATTCTCATTCAAATTTTTTGTAAAAAATTGAGGTGGGCAGGCAGATTTTTCTATTATATTTTTAGTTTGTATTTTATAACATAGATATTTTTGTTGACCTCATAATTGGCGCAAATTTATGTATTATACCCACATAAAAATCATTGTAGAATTCCATCTAATGTACATATCTCATAATATGCATCTCACCAATCTTTCAAAACCAGAGGTCCTTGTTTAATACATAATACAACAAATACCATCTTGTCAGCTATCAAAATTACACTGAAGGATTTAAAAAGAATGTTGAATAGTAAGTTAAATACTGATCCCGATCAGAATTTAGACAAAAAAAAAAAGAATCCAATTAATTGAGGCAGCAGTAAAATACTGGGGCAGGTGGGAATAAGAATCTAGGAATTTTTTCCTGCACTTTTTAATGATATCAAAATCACTAACCTCCGTTAAATGGTCAATATTTATCAAACCATTCTTAGACGTTTCCAAATGTCCATCATATATTGTTGAATCAAATGATTAACATAATATTCACAATAATTGTATTGATAAATTTCTGAAGATGAGTATACTTAAACATATTGTGAAAAATGTTGCTTATGTAATTTACATGTATCTTATATTTTATGATAGGTTCAGTATCAAGTTCACCCCACATTGATAGCTAAAGCAGATGCTTTGGAATACATAGAAAGTCTGATCATAAGTCTTTTGGGAACACTGTGTGCTGCCCAGCCCCATACTGTGCAGGATGTCACAGACCGAGTCAACAAGACCTTCCCTGACCCAATCGACAAGTGGGCAAACAGGGATGCTAATGTTGCTCTAGAGAAAGGCAAGAAAAACTCCAGCATTGTGCTTCCTGTGGAGAAAATTCATCAGTCTCTTATAAAGGTACTTTTCTTTGTAGTTTAGGAAAAATCAGCCAAAAAATGTTAAGTATTTAAATATTAGACTTAGTATTACATTGTGCTATGCACTTTTTAAATCCAGGAAGTCTTAGGACCCAAATAACACTTAAGAATTAAGGTATAATTATTTTTAAACAGTTATGGGGATATAAATACAGGTGGTCACATGATCAAATCCCTTCGGGCTTTATGGTAGACCAACCTGCATTTAATATATCCCGATAAATGTTTAAAAATGATATCTTATTACA